AAAAACCGTGCGTTCACGCCCCGCGCGCGACGCCCCACACCTCCACAACCCCCTCGATCCCCCACCGCCCTCGTCGACGCCCCCCGACCACTTCCCCCTCAAAAAATCCCGTCGATTCGCGCCCCCGGGGCGCGAAGAAACTCTGAGCGCCAAATATCCAAACTGAAGCCCGGCGCCCGGCGCTGGCGCCGTCACGCCCCCCCCCCTCGTATCCCTTCCAATCACCGCCCCGAAACAACTCGCGATCCCCCAAATCAAAAAGTCTCGACGCGTAGGCAAAAAAATGTCCGCCGACGATGAGGATGTCCAGGCGCTCGTGGTCGACAACGGCTCGGGCATGTGCAAGGCCGGCTTCGCCGGCGACGACGCCCCGCGCGCCGTCTTCCCGTCCATCGTCGGCCGCCCCAAGCACCCCGGGATCATGGTCGGCATGGACCAGAAGGACGCCTACGTCGGCGACGAGGCCCAGTCCAAGCGCGGCGTCCTCACGCTCAAGTACCCCATCGAGCACGGCATCGTGACGAACTGGGACGACATGGAGAAGATCTGGCACCACACCTTCTACAACGAGCTCCGCGTCGCGCCCGAGGAGCACCCCGTGCTCCTCACGGAGGCGCCGCTCAACCCCAAGGCGAACCGCGAGCGCATGACCCAGATCATGTTCGAGACCTTCAACGTCCCGGCCATGTACGTCAACATCCAGGCCGTGCTCTCGCTCTACGCGTCCGGCCGCACGACGGGCTGCGTGCTCGACTCCGGCGACGGCGTCTCGCACACGGTGCCCATCTACGAGGGCTACGCGCTCCCCCACGCGATCGTGCGCCTCGACCTCGCGGGCCGCGACCTCACGGACTACATGATGAAGATCCTCACGGAGCGCGGCTACTCGTTCACGACGACGGCCGAGCGCGAGATCGTCCGCGACATCAAGGAGAAGCTCACGTACATCGCGCTCGACTTCGACCAGGAGATGAAGACGGCCGCCGAGTCGTCGGCCCTCGAGAAGTCCTACGAGCTGCCCGACGGCAACGTCATCGTCATCGGCAACGAGCGCTTCCGCTGCCCCGAGGTGCTCTTCCAGCCCTCGTTCATCGGCAAGGAGGCGTCCGGCATCCACGACTGCACGTTCCAGTCACAGGGCAGCACAAGAGAGCGAGATTCCCAACTTCAAAGGCTCCGATCTCGGCCGTTTTCCACTCGTTTTGGCTGATTTTTGGACGAGCGATCATCTCTCGGAACGGTCTCGAAGCGTGGGTGCTGTTTCCGAAACGCGCGCGCGCGGAACACTCACGTTGAAGCGACGTTGAATCACCCTTTTCCTGCCCAGGTTCCAGACCATCATGAAGTGCGACGTCGACATCCGCAAGGACCTCTACTGCAACATCGTCCTCTCCGGCGGCACGACCATGTTCCCGGGCGTCGGCGAGCGCATGACCAAGGAGCTCACGGCCCTCGCGCCGTCGACGATGAAGATCAAGGTCATCGCGCCCCCGGAGCGCAAGTACTCCGTCTGGATCGGCGGCTCCATCCTCTCGTCCCTCTCCACGTTCCAGAGCATGTGGATCTCCAAGGCCGAGTACGACGAGTCCGGCCCGGCCATCGTCCACCGCAAGTGCTTCTAAGCGCGCGCCCGCGGCCCGGCCGCGGCGCAGACGCCGGGTGAGTCTTCGGTGATTCCCCGGCGCGCGCGCGCGCCCCCCGCACCCCGGCCCGTTCGAAGGGTGAGTCTTCGGTGATTCCCCGCGGCGCCCCCGTCCCGACTAAGACACGGACCCAGCGTTAGAACCCAGCGTCGGCGGGAGGGGCGTTCCGGTGCGCGTCCTCCGCCGCGAGGACGACGAGGAGCGCGAGCTGCAGCAGGAGGTGCCACCGCGTGTGGTGCCGCGCGCGCTCCCGGAACGTCGTCGACCGCTGGGACAGGGCGAAGCAGCGGAGCGCGGCGACGAGCGGCGGCACGGCGGCGGCGTGCGCGAAGACGCCCGCCCGCGCGCGCGCGGCGGCGAGGCCGACGTAGCGGACGATGAGCGCGACGGCCAGCAGCGTGTCGGCGGTGCGCCAGCCGTGGTCGACGCCGAGGTAGGTCACGTCGGCCTGCAGCGACGTCACGGCGACGGCGGTCAGCAGCGCGGCGTCGCGCCGGGACGCGCCGAAGAAGAACAGGCCCGCGACGCCGACGGCCGCGAACGTCGCGCTCGACAGCGCGTAGCAGCTGGCCCGGCGGAGGTCGCGGCGCCACTTCAGCGGGCAGCGCGTCTCCGGGCCGATGACGCGCCACCAGGGCAGGGGCCGGCCCGACGCCTCCCGCGGCGATATGCTGAATTTCTCCTCGAGCCTGGCCTCGGGGTAGAGCCAGCCGACGGCGTAGCGCCACTCCATGTCGAAGCGGCTCTCGCCCCTGCGCTTCAGGCGCATGCCCGAGCTCTTGTAGCGACCCATGGGACGGAACATGTTTCGCAACGCGACGCGGATCACGCCTCCATGCCTGTGGCAAGCGCTTCAGCGACGGCTTCAGCTTGCCCAGCCCGATCAGCCCGAGCTATGATGCCTCTCGTCGGGCTGCCTCGATGACCGATGCGGCTGGTCCTCCTCGCCGCCGACTTCAGCTTTGGAGCGCCGCTCGTGCTATGATGCCTCGCGCTCTCGTCGGGCTGCCTCGATGGCGGTGAACGATGCGGCCGGTTTTCTTCTTCCCGATGCGGCTGGTCCTCCTCGCCGCCGCCGCCGCCGCCGCGCCGGTGCGCTTCGTCGTGCTCAAGCGCGGCCACAGCGGCAGCACCTGGTTCAGCGCCTTGCTCCAGGAGCTGCACCTCACCTTCTTCATGGACGAGGCCCTGTCCGCCAAGGCCCTCGCCGGCGCGTCGCGCGACGACGTCGCCAAATACCTCGACGCCGCGCTGGCGGCGCCCGCGGGCCAGTTCCAGAGCTCCGCGCGGCCGAAGCCCATCCAGTGGCGCGCGCAGTCGAGGCGCGCGGAGCGGTGCCACGTGCGGCGGCGCGGCTGCGACCTCGCGGCCGTCGGCCTCGGCGTCGCGCCGCTCGCGCGGCGGCGGCGGACGGCGCCGCCGGACTGGTTCGCGGCCGTGCTCGCGGCCGCGGCGCCGAAGGTCGTCGTCTGGCTCCGGACGAACGTCGTCAAGATGGTCTTCGCGACCCACGGCCGCAAGGGGGCGCTCGTCGCGCACCGGCGCCTCGCCCGCGCCTCGCCCGCCGCGTCACGGTTCCTCCGCGAGTGCCGGAGCGGCGTCGCGCGCAACGCGGCGCTCGCCGCGCTCGCCGCGACGCTGCCGTCGTCCAAAACGGTCTTCTACGAGGCCGTCCAGCGCGACGCGGCGCGCGAGATGAACGCCGTGCGCCGCTTCCTCGGCCTGCCGAAGCGGACGACGAACTTCACGACCGCGAGCGTCAAGCGCGGCGCGGACGACCTCCGCACCGTCCTGCCGAACTTCGACGACCTCAGCGCGGCCCTCGCCGGCGACCCGTGCCTCCGGGCCATGCTCCACGCGCGCGCGCCCGTCGTCTTCCCGCCGTGCAACAGCTCGCTGCGGCGGTAACCATTGTGTCATGTCCGAGGCCTACAGGCCGTGTGTGCTCTTGGGCATGCGGCTCCTCCGACGCTAAATCACCAATAATAATAATAATGATGCACCGTGCAAAAAGTTGAACAGATGTTGATTACAAAGTTAACCCAATATAGAAAAGAGATCTCAAATGGCAGCCCGGGCGAACTTGATCTGACACCCGCGCGGCGCCTTCGCGAACGCGGCGACGGTCCGGTTCGACGACCGATGGTGCGGGTGAAGCACAACGGCAACCGGTGCGAAGGCTGCGGCTTCTGGCCGGCGAAGCCTGCCTACGCGACCTGCCCGCGCTGCGACGATCGCGTCCTTTTGTGTGGTAAGGACTGCCAGGTCGCGTGGTGGAAACACCACAAGTCCATCTGCGAGGTGCGCCGCGCGCCCGCGGCGCCGGCGACCGGCGCGGCCGACGCGCTCGGGAGGCTCGACGCGCTCGGCGAGGACGTCGCAGAGGCCGTGTTCCTCGTCCTGGGACCCGCGGCGTTCGCCCGGCTGGCCGCGACGTGCCGGGCCGGGCGCCGGCTCGCGCGGCCGGCGCGCCGCTGCGCGTACGGCGTCGCGGTGCCTCCCTGGCAGCACGAGGAGATGGACGGGGACAATTTCCCCCGCATCGTCCAGCCCTGCGGCGACGGGTTCGAGCCGAAGGACTTCGATCTCCACCTGCTGGCGCGGTGCCGGACCTTCGTGACGCGCAGGCACCGCTACCGGCCGCGCCCGGAGGACTACGCCCATTCGAAGGTCCTCGAGGACCGCGCGTCCGCGCTCGCGCGGACCCACTGCCAGGCGTGCGGGACGAAGGAGATGTGGCGCTACCGCGCGTCGCTCTGCCGCGTGCGCGTGCGCAAGGCGGGACGGCCCTGGGGCGTGTCGGAAGTCCCGGCCCCGGGGCGGGAGCACCTGGTCTTCGTCCCGCGGGTGCCTCGCGCGTACGAGAGCTCGCGGCGCTCGGAGGACTTCGCTTTGGCCTTCTCGGCCCTCGACATCCGCGACGACAAGCCCGCCGCGTACCAGGCCATGTTCCGCTCGCTGCCGTTCGCGCCCGAGCGGCGGACGCGCGACGGCGACTCCGCCGACGATCCCATCTTCGGCGAGCTCCGAGGCATCTTCGGGGACATCTCGGGCGACTCGGGCCCCTGCTACTCGTACGGCCAGGACGGCTGGCGGCTGCCCCCCGGGACGAAAGGCGGCGATTTCGTCGAGGAGACCGTCTACAAGGGCTGCGGCGCCGCCGTGCGCTGCAACTACTGCGCCAGATACCCCGACGGCTGCCCGGCCGTCGCAACGCACGTCCTTCCGCCCGAGATAGCGGCGATGAAGCGAGCGAGCAAGTAGCAACAACAGCTCTGACGCGTGCGGTAACATTGGTTCACATTGACTTCATCTTGAAGCGGTTGAACATGCGAGACTGCGCATGTACCTGTAATCTCAGCACAAACGGGTCCAGATGTGTCGCGGTTCCCAGCCCAGAGCGATGCTCGCGCTCGCCGTGGTGCTCGCGCCCGCGGCGGCCCTGCGCGCGCCCATCACTCAGCTCAAGCAGGGTCCGCGCCGCGCGCTGCGCCGCGCCGCCGCCGCCGGGCCGCCGGCGTCGCGCGCGGAGGACCTCGTGGCCAACGCCGGGGACCTGCGGCTCTTCACGCCGCTGGGCCCGCGGAAGCCCGCGGCGCCGCTCGACGGCGACGCCCTCGCGGCGAACGCGCTGTCGGGCTTCGCGGTGTCGCTCGCGATGATCCCCGAGGGAAACAAAAATATTCAAGACGACTTTAACATTCGTGAGTTCGCACGCGTTCGACATACTTTTTTTGTTGTCTGAAAAGAACTCGCCGAGGGAAAATGATCCGTCCAAAAATCAGCCAAAAAGACTTTGATTTGACCGAGATAGAGAGGTTTGAAGTTTTTGCTGGACAGGGCGTTCCACTGGTTGTTTCCCACACAGGCGATGATCCCCGAGGCCGTGGCGTTCGCGTTCGTGGCGGGCGTGTCGCCGATCGTCGGCCTCCAGACCACGGCGGTGTTGGGCTTCGTCGCCGCGGCCTTTGGGGGACGGGGCGGCATGACGAGCGGCGCGTCCGGCGCCTGCGCTGTCGTCGTCGCGGGCCTCGTGCGCGAGCACGGCGCGGGCTACCTCCCGGGGTGCGTCGTCCTCGCGGGTTTCGCGCAAGCGTTCCTGGGGCTCGTCGGCGCGGGCAAGTTCATCCGCATGGTGCCCCATCCCGTCATGCTGGGCTTCGTCAACGGGTTGGCGGTGGTCATGCTGAGCGCGCAGCTGACGCACTTCCGCGCGCCGCTCGCGCTGGGCCTCCGGTCGCCCGAGTTCCTGACGATGGCCGGGCTGACCGCGGCGACGATGGCGCTCGTGACCGTCGTGCCGCGGGTGACGCGGCGCGTGCCGCCGTCGCTCGCCGCCGTCGCGGCCGTCACCCTGGCGACCAGAATCCTCCATTTGCCCGCGACGACGCTCGTCGACCTCGCGGGGCCGGCCGCGTTCGCCGGCGGGGTCGGCGTGCTCCCGGCGCTCTCGCCGACGTTCGCGGTTTTGGCGCTCGCGCCGTGGAGCTTCTTGTGCACCGTCGCGCCCTACGCGGCCACGATGGCCGTCGTCGGCATCGTCGAATCGCTGCTGACGATGCAGCTCGTCGACGGCCTCGCGGACGACGGCACGCGCGGGTCGACGCGCCAGGAGTGCGTCGGCCAGGGGCTGGGGAACCTGGCCTCGGGGCTCTTGGGCGGCCAGGGCGGCTGCGCGCTGATCGGGCAGTCGCTCATCAACGTCCAGTCCGGCGGCACTTCCCGCCTCTCGGGCATGGCCATGGCGGCCTTCCTCGCGCTGGGCCTCGTGTTCGGGGCGCCGCTCCTCGGGGGCGTGCCCGTCGCGTCCCTCGTCGGCGTCATGCTCCTCGTATGTCAAATCGACGTTCGCGTGGTCGTCGCTCCGGCTCTGGGGCAAGGTGCCGCGCGTCGACCTCTTCGTCGTCGCGCTCGTGTCGCTCGTCACCGTGTGCCGCGACCTCGCCCAGGCCGTCGGCGCGGGCGTCGTCGTGTCGGCGCTGGCCTTCGCCTGGGAGCAGTCGAAGCGGATCCGCGCGGACGCGGCCGTCGGCGGCGACGGCCGCAAGACCTACGCGCTCCGCGGGCCCCTCTTCTTCGGCTCGTCGACGGCCTTCCGCGAGCTCTTCGCGCCGTCCGACGACCCGACCGACGTCGTCCTCGACTTCTCCGGCAGCCGCGTGCTCGACCACAGCGCCCTCGAGGCCATCAACGACGTCGCGGCGCGGTACGCGGCCCTCGGCAAGACGCTCCGCCTCCGCCGCCTGTCGCCGGACTGCTACCAGCTCCTCGCGGCGCGCAACGGCGCCTGGTCCGCGCTCGTCCTCGAGGCCGACGCGGACTCGGACCCCATCTACGAGGTCGCCGTGGACTACTCGAAGAAGGGCGCGATAGTGCCGCCGAAGCCGCCGAAGCCGACGACGCGCGACCGCCCGACGGGCGCGGGCTTCAGCGAGGCCGGCTAAGACCTGGCGTTTTTATCGACGGCGAGTTGCACGGGTCGACATCCCCTCGGGGCCCTCCAGAGGGGGCCGACCACCAGGCATACACCAGCCGGGCATACACCGGCATAGCAGCCGCATAGCAGCCGCATAGCGGACGCATAGCGGACGCATAGCGGACGCATAGCAGCCGCATACCACCCGCATAGCAGGCGCATAGCAGGCGCATAGTAGACGCATAGCAGGCGCATAGTAGACGCATAGTAGACGCATAGTAGACGCATAGTAGACGCATAGTAGGCGCATAGCAGACGCATAGCAGGCGCATAAGACCAGCATAGCAGGCGCATACCACCAGCATAGCAGCCCGGCGACCGCTGTCGACGACCCCAGGCGACGGCCGCCGGAGGTCGCCGCATAGCAGGCGCATACCACCAGCATAGCAGCCGCATACAACCCGCATACGACCCGCATAAAACCCGCATACCACCCGCATACCACCCGCATACCACCCGCATACCACCCGCATACCACCCGCATACCACCCGCATACGACCAGCATAGCAGCCGCATACCACCCGCATAAAACCCGCATAAAACCCGCATAGTAGGCGCATACTACCAGGCATACCGGCGGTCAACCCCCTCGGGGGCCCTCCCCGCGGCCGGCGGGCCCCGCAATCCCTTGAAACTTCAACAACGAAGTCCACCTTTTGGAACTCCACTTGTGATGAGGTGCCTGGTGGTGTTCGCGGCCGCCGCGCTGCCCTGCGCGTGCCTGAACGTGAGCGTCGGCTACCTCGGGTCCCTGTCGTCGGCCGCGCCCGACGCCGTCGAGTCCTTCGCCCTCTTCCAGCTCGCCGTCGCCGACGCCGGCGCGCTGGCCAACGCCACCGTGCGCGCGGAGGTCTACGCCTGCGACGACGCGCGGGCCTGCGCCTGGCGCGGCGCGGCGGCGCTGGCCGCGCGGGGCGTCGCCGGCGTCGTGAGCGGCCTGCCGTCCGCCGCGCTCGCGCCCGCGGCCGTCGCGCTCGGCGCCGCGGGCGTGCCGCTGGTCGCCATCGCGTCCGTCGACGCGTCCCTCGCGGCCAAGGGCGACATGCCCACGCTCCTCCGGAGCGGCGACGTCGAGACGCGGGCCATCGACGTCCTCGCGGCCGTGGTCGCATCGCGGAACTGGACCGTCGCGGGCGCCGTCGCGCCGCGGACGGACGCGGGCTTCGCGCGCTCCGTGGCCCTCCAGGGCGCGCTCGACGCGCGGAACGTCACGCTGCGCGTCGTCGCCGACTTCGCCGTGGAAACGGACGGCGCCGGGGACCCGAGCAGCGTCGCGCTGGCGCTCGACGTGCTCGCGCTCTCCGGGTGCCGCGTCGCGATCCGGGCGGGACAAGAGTGATTCAACGTCGCTTCAACGTGAGTGTTCCGCGCGCGCGCGTTCCGGAAAAAGCATCCACGCGTCGAGAGCGCTCCGAGGGATGATCGCTCGTCCCAAAATCAGCCGAAACGAGCGGAAAACGGCCGAGAGAGAAGTTGGGAATTTCGCACTCTTTCCTGCCCAGGTCGCGATCCTGCTCGGCGACGCGGCGTCGACGCCCGCGGTCGTCGACGCCGCGGAATCCGCGGGCGTGCTCGACGCCGTCGCCTGGCTCGCCATCGACGGTGCCATGCCCGACGGCTGGAAGCGGGGCGGGGGGCGGACCTTCGAGGGCTGGCTCGTGGCGACGCCCGTGAGCTACCGGAGCTCCGACGCCGCGAGGAAGCTCCGCCGGTCCTTCGACGACGCGGCGACGGCCTGGGACTGCGAGGCCTACAACAGTTCCCAACTCTACGACGGGACGATCTGGGACGTCGCCGACGCCGACGACGGGTCCCTCGCGTGCGCGGGCGACGGCGGCGCGTCGCGCGCGGGCGCGCTCGCGTACGACGCCGTGGGCCTCGTCGTCGCCGGCGCCGCGGCCTGCGCCGCGGCGGAGGCCTGCGACGCGGCCGACGGCCGCGCCGTGGCGCAGACCATCGCCGCGGGGACCTGGGCCTTCGCGGCGTCGGGGCCCGTGAAGTTCGACGACCGACGCGACCGCGTCGTGGCGACGGAGACGGTCAACCTGCAGCGGGGCGAGGCCGTCGTCGTCTTCGACGAAGACCTGCGCCCCGTCGCCGACGTGCGCTTCGTCGCGCCGGGCGTCGGGGCCACGGACGGCACGGCCGTCGACGCCGCGGCGTGCCGCTTCCTGTCCGACGGGAGCCGGCCCAAGGCGACGCCCGCGGAGCTCGCCGCGGGCTTCGACGTCCCGCTCGTCGTGGAGCTGGCCAACGCCTTCGGCGAGGCGCCGGCGGCGAGCTTCGAACTCGCCGTCGCCGCCCACGCGCCGGGCGACGGCGGCGCGTTCTTCCAAGCCGTTTTCCCAGTGCCGAAAGGCGCGACGAACGCGTCCTTCGCCGTCACCACGTTCCGGTCCGGCGCCTTCAAGGTCGCCGCGACCATCGACGGCGCCCTCGTCGGCGGGGGCCGCCTCGACGTGAGCGTCCTGCGCGAGTGCGTCGCCGGCGAGCGCGTCGACGACCAGGGCCAGTGCGCGACCTGCGACCAGGGCACCTACAGCGCGACGAGCGACGCGCCGGCCTGCCTCGCCTGCGGCGCCGGGTCCTACGCGACGGTGCTCAACGACTCGAGCCTCGAGGCCGGCTACGGCGTCTGCGGCGGCGCGGACGGCTGCGCGGCGTGCCCCGCGGGCCACTACAACCCGGACCCCTACCAGTCGACCTGCCTCGCCTGCAGCCGCGAGCACCACCGCCTGTCGCCCCCGGGCGCCGTGGCCTGCGGGCTCTGCGAGGCGGGGTACCTCGACGCGCGCGGCGACGCGGACCCCGGAAGACGCGGCGTGCGCGGCGTGCGGGTGCGGCCTCGAGTGCGGCGTTCCGGGCCTGAACCTGGCGACGGTGGCCGTCACGTCGGGCTACTGGCGCGCGACGATGGACACCCACGAGACCCAGAAATGCCGCGGCGGCCGCTGCGCGGGGGGGCCGGGCGCGGGCGACGACCTCTGCGAGGCGGGATCGACGGGCCCCGTCTGCGACGTCTGCGACGGCGGCTACACCTACTCGGCGGCGGCGGACCGGTGCTTATCGTGCGCGGGGAACAAGGCGCCGAACTGGCTCTTCGCCGCGGCGGCCTCCGTGGCCTTCCTCGCGGCGTTCGCGTTCGTCGTCGTGCGGCGCGACGAGGGGAGCGACGCGGACGACGCCGCGCGGAACCGGCTGCGCCTGGCCTTCAAGCTGCGGTCCAAGTGGCGCATCCTCTTCGTCGCGCTGCAGATCCTGACCATGTACCCGGCGATCCTGTCGAGCGTCAGGTACCCCAGGGTGTACACGGAGCTGCTCGGCCCCTTCCGCGTTTTGGGGTTGGACATCCCAGCACTGCTCCCGCTGTCGTGCCTCACGGCGGGCACCTTCGACTACTTCGCGTCGCTGCGCTTCATGACGTTGGGGCCGCTGCTGCTCGTCGTGGGCTCCTGTGTGGACATCAAACAGTGAGCTGGGTTATCCCCACCAAACATCGGAACGCTCGAGCTCGGTCACTGATTTTTGGACGAATCGATTGCTCTCGTCGAGTTCTCGAAGCACAGCGAAAGAGTCTGGTCCCAACCGTTCGATTTTACGCACATTGAAGTCGGGTTGAAGGTTTGGAATCCACGCAGGTGGCCTACGCGGCGCTCTTCGAGGCGCACAAACGGGTCCCGACGTCGCGGCTCCTCGCGCTCGCCGGCCGGGAGCGCGACGCGACGATCGCGCTCATGCCCGTCTTCCAGTTCACGCTCTTCGCGTCCTTCTGCATCTTCCCGCCGACGTCCCTCGCCATCTTCAAGTGCTTCCGCTGCGACGAGGTCTCCGACGGCGCGAGAGGCGTCTGGTACCTCGCGGCGGACTACAGCATCCGCTGCGGCGGCGCGGCCTACGCCGCGAACATGGCCTACGCGTGCGCCATGGTCGCCGTCTACCCGCTGGGCGTGCCCCTGCTCTACGCGACGATGCTCGATCCGGTGTGGAAATCAACCAGCGGAACGCCCTGTCCAGCAAAAACTTCAAACCTCTCTAGCTCGGCCAAGTCGAAGTCGATTCGGGTGATTTTTGGACGAATCGATCGCTCTCGTCGAGTTCTCGAAGCACAGCAGAAAGCCTCGCGTCGAAACCGTCGAATACGCTCACATTGAAGTCGGGTTGAATATTTGATTTCCACGCAGGCTCTACCGGAGCCGCGCGGGGCTCGACCCCGTCCTCGGCGACGGCGCGCGCGCGCGGCGGCGGCGCGACGGCGGCGAAGCCCGCGTCGCCGCGGCGAACGAGCTGCGGCTCGCGTCGGAGGAGCTGAAGCGCACGGCCGTGCTCTGGGGGCCCTACGAGCCCGAGTTCTACGCCTGGGAGACGTGGGAGGCGCTCCGGCGGCTGCTGTCGACGTCCGTGACCATGCTCTTCTTCCCCCGGCAGCCGGGCCTCCAGATCGCCTTCTCCGTCGTCGTCGTCCTCGTCTCCCTCAAGATGTACGTGACCTTCAAGCCCTTCGCGCAGGACGACGACGACCGCCTCGCGGAGCTGCTCTGCTGGATCCTGCTGCTGACGCAGCTCGCGCTCCTCGTGCTCGTGGCCCAGGACTACCGCGGGTCCGCGCCCGTGGGCGCCACGATGTGCGCCCTGCTCGCCGCCGCGCTGCTCAGCGGCCTCTACCTCGTCGTCGTCGACGTGAAGCGCGAGCGCGGGGTGTTGGACGAGATCCTCGTCGCGCACGAGGAGCGGTTCAAGGAGTACGCGCGCCTCGCGCGCGGGTCCGCGCTGGTGCGGAGCCTCAAGGGGTCGTCCTTCGGCTTCGGCCACCGCCCCCGCGCGACGCGCGCGGACACGGCGGACCTCGACGGCCGCGAGAGCGGCGACCTCGCGACGCTCCTGCGCCGCGCCGTCGGCGCGCCGGACGCGGCGCCGGAGCGCGGTGGCAAGGCCGACGCCCTCTCCGGGGAGACGGCGGACGGCGACGACGGCGACGCGGACTGCGCCTGCGTCGCGCTCGGCCCGGCGGGGAGCCCCCGCTTCGTCGACGTCGACGTCGACCGGCCGTAGGCCCGGGCCCGCTACGTAACGTAGCTCGCGGCCAGAGAAAAGGGCGGGCCTTAGGCGGCCTAGACCGGCGTGCCTCGCAGCGGGGGCACGCCCAGCGGGACGCCCATCGCGGCGTTGAACGCGTCCTCGGGATGGGGCACGCTCTGCTCGGCGCCGAGCGGATGCGCGACGGCGATCTCGTGGCCCGAGGGGTCCAGGATCTGGAAGTAGCGCTCGCCCCAGTCCGCGTCCCGCGGCGCGTGCTCCGGCGCGAGGCCCTCGGCCACGGCCCGGCGGTAGACGTCGTCGACGTCCGCGGCGTACAAAATGACGCGGCCCCAGCCCCGCCGCGGCGCGAAGCCCGCCGCGGGGAAGAGGTTCACGTGGAAGCTGTGGAGCGCGCCCTCGGGCCCGCCGAACGTGGACCAGTTGCCCGCGGCGCAGCCGTAGGTGCAGTTCAGGCCGAGCTTCGCGTAGAACGCGCGCGAGGCGTCCATGTCGGACGTCGCCAGCGTGATGGCATTGATGCCGATCCATGCCGGCGCGCCGTCTGCGAAGGCGCGGCGCGCGACGAGGCAGCACCAGAGGAGTCGGAGGCGTCGATCCATGGTCGAGGCGACGATCTCCTATCGTCGCGCCGGCGGCGGCGGCCGGGTTGGCCTTGCTCGCGCGCGCGCGGTGTCGACTGTGGCAGAAAATGCAAGCCCTCCGCACTTTTAGTAAAATTTTAGTGCACGCCGCTTGCTTGACACGAAGACTTTGTGGCTGGGTTGTTTAAGATCCCGAGTCGAATGGCGTGATACGCTTTCGAGAAAATCGATGGCAAAGAGGGCTCCGCCAGTGGTGATGGGCACCTTTGGCAAGCTCTATCTCGGCGCCATGGCCACCGATTTGCAAAATTCTTGTTGCATCTGAAAGCCGGCACGGTCGTCTTGCGCGCAGAGCCAATAACTCAAAAACTTCAACAGCAACATAAACTCGGCATTCTATTCAACCCAGCCACAAGTCTTGCCTGAAGGCCGAAGACCTAGGTCGGGCTGCCCCGCGCTCTCCGTCGTCGTCGTCCGCCACGCTCCGTCGTGCCATGGGGTCGCTCTTCAGTCGCGCCGCGCCGGTCAAGATCGAGATCGAGTACTGCCACACGTGATCCTTCAAGCCCAAGGCCGCCTGGTTCGGCGAGACGGTCCTCGCGCGCGTCGCGACCCTCAAATCCGAAGGGTTCGCCGTGGAGGCCACCGCCGAGCAGATCGAGCAGAAGGGCAAGATGTTCGTGCGCGTCGACGGCGCGCAGGTCTACAGCAAGGGCGGCTTCCGCGCGGAAAATCCGCAGCCGGGGCCCGAAGAGGTCGACGAACTCGTCACGAGCCTCACGGCCAAGGCCGGCAAGGCGCTGCCGCTCTCCGACGACGAGAAGGCCGCGTTCCTCGAGCTCCACGAGGCGCAGATCAAGGCCGGCAAGAGCAAGCACTAGGCGGTTTCCGGCGCGCGGCCCCCATGACGGCCGCGCGGCGTTCGCGCGAACGCCGCGCGGCCCGAGCCCCCCCGCGCTTCTCGCCGGCATGATGTGTTACCCCGACGGGGTCGGGGTCCGTTCGCGCGAACGCCGCGCGGCCCGAGCCCCCCCGCGCTTCTCACCGGCATGATGTGTTACCACGCCGGGGTCGGGGTCTTGTCGGGTCGGGGGGTCGGTCGGTGGCGGCGTCGGCGGAGGGGCGGCGGCGTCGAGCCGCGCGCCGTCTGCCGCGTGCCGCGGGGTCGGCGCGCCTAGCACGCGCCGCAGGTCATCGGGCAGGCCTCCTCGGCTTTGACCTTGAACTCGTCCTTTTTTGCAATTCTTGCTCTTCTTGGAGACGTAGTCGGAGCACGTCTCCTTGCTCTTCTTGTAGTACCACGACGTGCTGTCGACGCACGTCTCCGCCTCCTCGCACTCGCCGCAGCTCGAAGGACAGGCGTCCTTGCTCTTCACCTTGTAGTCGTCCTTGAGCGAACAGCGATCCTCCGGCTTCTTCGCGACGTAGTCGCAGTCGTACTTGCTCTTCTTCCAGTACCAGGACGTCGAGTCGGCGCAGGACGCGTCCTCGTCCTCGTCCTCGTCCTCGTCCTCGGGCGCCGCCGTCGGCGCGGGGACCGGCGCGGGGACGGGGACGTCCTCCTCGCACTCGCCGCAGCTCGACGGGCACGCGTCCTTACCTTTCACCTTGTCGTCGTCCTTGAGCGAACAGCGATCCTCCGGCTTCTTCGCGACGTAGTCGCAGTCGTACTTGGACTTCTTCGAGTACCAGGAGGTGCTATCGACACAGCCCTCGTCCTCGTCTTCCTCCTCGACCTCGCACTCGCCGCAGCTCGACGCGCCTCGTGGGCCGGCGCGGCCTTGGCCGCCGACAGCGTGCGCGCGGGCGCGTCGTGGGGCACGGCGACGCGGCGCGTCGTCTTGGGCGCGGCGCGGCGCTGGGCGAGCGGGCGCCGGGGGCTGCCCCGCTTCCCCTGCTTGTTCGCGAGGGCTGCCGTGAGCAGGAGGGCGAGCGCCGCGCGGCGCATCCTTGCCGCTTGCTGTTGGTTTTGTGTTGTTGCGGGAGGTGCGGTGTCGCGGATTCGACAATTGCGACAGTTGACAGTCGCCGTCGATGAGAATGCCGCGAAAGCTCGGTGTGTGTTGTCCTGCGATCTGGGCGAAAAATTGATCTTCAAGTTCTTCGGGTAACGTGGGCTATTTGAACATCGCGGCAGTGCCGTGCACGCTGCCCCTTTGATTGATTGTTGCAGTGCACCGCACGAGCGACTCGCTCCCCGAGCTGATCTCCTCGAGACGACCGACAGTCGCTCAGTACCGCGTCTTGCGCGCCGTCTCTTCCGTCAGCGGTCGGGGCGTGTCGGGCAGCCGAGGCACTCGCGGAGGAGGTCCGCCGGTTGCTCCCGCCCTTGTATGAGTGCGGAGGAACCCGCAGAGCCGAAAGCGGTCAAACACACGCTCGACGCGCCGGGGAGCCCGCCGGCCGCCAAGAAGGCCCGCGCGGAGGATCTGAAGACGGAGGACACGCTGGCGGACGCCGAGGAGTCCGCGGCCGCCGCCCCCCCCGCCGGGGGCGACGCGCCGGAGCCCGCGGAGCCCGCGCCGGACGCCGGCGGCGACGACGCGGGCTCCGAGGCCGGCGAGGCGCCCGGCGACGCGAGCGAGGGCGGCACGCGGCGCCGCGTCCCCCGCGCGCCCCCGCCCCCCGGAAACACCACCCCCTTAACTATAGGCGAGCCCCCCGCGCCCGACGCCGCGGGCGCGGCGGCCGCGGCCGTCGCCGCGGCGTCGGGCGCGCTCGCGCCGTCGTCGCCCGACGGCATGCCGCGGCCCGGCATGGGCGTCATGGCCGCGCCGCCCATGGCGCCCATGGCCCAGTACACGCTCCAGGCCCTCGCCGGGCGGACCATCGAGTTCAAGGTGCTCCTGCCGAACGCGAAGTGCGGCATCGTCATCGGCAAGGGCGGCGCGATGATCAAGCACATCCGCGAGACGTCCAAGGCCCAGGTCGACGTGAGCGAGGCCCAGGCCGTGTCGGCCCACGTCGCCGCGGCCCAGGGCGGCGCGGGCCTCGCCGCGGAGCGCGTCGTGTCGTTCTCGGGCGATTTCGGAGCGGTCTACGCGGCCTTCCAGATGGTCCTCAGCCACATCGTGGCCAACTCGCCGGCGGTCGTGGATGCCTTAGGCGTGGCCATGCCCGCCGTCGGCGGGGTGGTGGAGGCCGTGGTCCTCGTGCCCCGGAACAAGACCGGGGGGCTCATCGGCCGCGCGGGCGCGTCGATCAACCGCGTGCGCCAGGATTCCGGCGCGACGGTCAAGGTCGGCGCGCCCGAGGACGTGGTGGTGGGCGACCCGGACGTGCGCAAGTGCGTCGTCTCCGGGTCCATCGACCAGGTCATGGGCGCGTTCACGCTCATCGTCCACAAGCTCGAGGAGACGCCGGCCGGCGCGGCGCGCGCGCCGGAGATGGGCGGCATGGGCATGCCGGGCTACGGCATGGCCGTGCCGGGCATGCCCCCGGGCCAGTTCCCGCCGGGCGGGCCGGGCGGGCCCGGCGGGCCGGGCATGGCGCCGCCGCTCGCGCCGGGCACCATGCCCGTCCAGTTCCAGGTCCCCAACGAGTCCATGGGCGCGGTCCGCGCGGCCGCGCGGGACGTCACGTTCGGGGGGGGGGGGGGGGCACTTCTCTCGAGCTCGAAAACAACCCGCTGGTTCGGGGGCGATCAAAACTTCTCGAGCTCGAATCGACGTCGATGCGCGCGACGTTCGGACTCGACGCGCGCGACGCGCGGCGGGAGCGGCGCGGTTCGCGATGACGTCCCACGCGCGCGTAGGTCATCGGCCGCGCGGGCGCGACGATCAACCAGATCCGCCAGATGTCGCAGGCCAAGGTCGACATCGCGCAGAGCGTGCCGGGCTGTGTGGAAATCGAATCTTCAACCCGACTTCAATGTGCGCGTAATCGAACGGTTCGACACGAGCACTTCCGCCGTGCTTCGAGAACTCGCTGAGAGCAATCGATTCGTCCAAAAATCAGCCGAATCGACTTCGATTTGACCGAGCTAGAGAATTCTGAAGTTCGGCCCCGACGTCCCAGCTCACTGGTTGATTTGCACACAGGTGCCGGGCATGCCCATGCGCCTCGTCACCGTGACGGGCACGCCGGACCAGATCCAGATGGCCCAGTACCTCATCCAGGTCAAGATGGGCGGCGGGTCGCTGCCCCAGGCGGGCCAGATGGCCGCCGGCGGCGCCGCGGGGCCGCCCGCGGACTACGCGCAGATGCAGCAGCAGCAGATGCAGCAGCAGCAGGCCGCGCTCCAGCAGGCCCACCTCCAGCAGCAGATGAGTCCGCGACGCCCGCGTCGTTTTTTTTTCTCGCGTCGCGGCGCCGATCCCGTCCTCCGCAGGCGCGAACTACGCGCAGGGCGACTACGCGCAGCAGATGCAGATGCAGCAGCAGATGATGCAGCAGCAGCAGATGCAGCAGCAGCAGATGCAGCAGCAGCAGGGCTACCAGGGCATGGGCGGCTACCCGGCCTTTTAGGTTCGACCCTCTCCTTCGCTCCTTTCGCCCGCGCCTACCTACCGTCTTCCTCTCCTTCCTCTCGCACTCCAAGCCTCCGCGGTCCCCGGTCCCGAAGACGACCGCCCCACGACCGCACCACGAAACAATGACACGCGCCCCCCTCCCCCCACTCTCAGCGCGACAACGACACGAGCACTCGCGAACGACGCCGTCCCACCGACCTCCGACGGCGGCAGACGCGACCGAACGCCAGATAACGAGCTCTAGATGACGGCCGTCGCCGCTCCGGGCTCCAGGGGAGGGTCGCGCGCCTCGGTCCGCGCCTCGGCGCGAACGCGCCCCACGGCTGCGAGGCCCGCGGCGACGTAGGGGTCGCCGCCGCGCTCGGCGTCGACCTCCGCCCACCGGTAGCGGCCGAAGGCGCCGTCGTGGCCTGCGCGGGGCGCGCGTCGACGCGCGCGGGAACGGAGCGGACGCCGCGCGCGCGACACGGGCCCGGCCGGTCGCCGCAGATTTCGAGAGAATCCGCGGGCGCGTCGTCCGTCAGCGCCGCGAGGACGAGCACGTTGACCGTCTGCGCCGCGCCGCCCCCGGCGCTCTCGGGGAAGAACGCGTTCGTCGTCAGCAGGACCGCGCGCGCCTCGGCCTCGGCGCCGACCTCGTCGCGGATGATCCGCTCGGCGGCTTCGAAGAACGTCTCTCCGAAACGCAGGCGCCCGCCGGGCCACCACCAGAGGCCCCGCGCGGGCTCGCGCGCGCGCTGGACCAGGAGCATTCGCCCGTCGCCGCGCGCGAGCGCGACGTCGACGCGGGCGACGGGCATGCCCCGCGCGACCTGCTCGTAGGCGTCGCCCGGCAACGGCGCCGCGGGCGCGCGCCGCTCGCGCGCGTCGCCGTAGAAGACGCTGCCGTCGCGCGCGCTGTAGGTCGCGCGCGTCGCGTAGTCCCGCACCTCGTAGCTGTCCTTTTCGGGCAGCGTCAGGGACAGGGGGCCCGCGGCCATGGACGAGGCCACGAAGAAGAGGTAGGCGAAGACCGCCGCGAAAAAAAAGCCGACGGCGCAGGCGCCGGGGCCGGAGCTGTGCCGCCGCCGCGCGTAGGAGTAGTAGGACGTCGGCATGGCGTCCATTCAGGCGCAGCCCAGAGTGGTTGCAGCATGGCCATCGTGAACGGAAGTACTTCACTTTTCATGCACCCAACTTTAGAATGGTTGCACCCGGCATGACGTGAGATCTCCACAATCTGAGGCAAGATGGCTCTCAAACGCTTGCTCGCGATTGCGGCGATCATAATCCAGGAAACCTCCTCCGCCCCGACCGCGCCGCTGTGTCGCGACAAGAGTGAGCTCGACGCCTTGCTCGCGACGCACCAACCCTTGGCCCTCATGGTCCTGCCTCGCGGGTGCGACATGTTCCCCGGGACCTGCGGCCCGCTCGGCGAGCTCTGGGGCGCCGTGGCCCGCGCGTTCCCCGGGCGCGTCTACCGCCTCTCCTGCGCGGACGCGCCGGACGCGTGCGGCGCGGCGATGGGCTCGACGACGCGGCTCTCGCGACCCGTCGACTCCGGCGCCGAGCCCGTCTTCGAGTTCTGCGGGCCCGCCTGCGAGCGCCCGCGTGGACATCAAATCTTCAACCCGACTTCAATGTGAGCGTCATCGAACGGTTCGGACCAGCCTCTTCCACACAGGCGAGCGCTACGCCGGCCGGCCGGACCCGCGGAGCCTCGCCGAGGAGGCGGCGCGGCGCCTCGGCGGCCGGGAGGCGCGGCCCTCCGCCATGGACGCGGCCCTCTGCCAACTCTCCGGCTTCGCGACCGCGCTCCCCGACGCCTACGCGGCGGCCGACGCCTACGCGGCGCGGCGCGACGCCCTGCGGACGGCCGCCTCGTTCGTGGGAAAACGTATCCACGTCGCGCGGATCCTCTACGACCAGTACCTCGAGCGGTGGCCGGACCACCCGAACGCGATCGCGGCGGCGGCGAACGCGGCGCGCGTCGCCGGCGACGCCGAGGCCGCCCTCGCGCTCTGGGACCGGCTCCTCGCCCTCGAGCCGACCAACCCCCACGTCATCGCCGGCGCCGCGGGCGCGGCCGCGGCCGTCGAGCGCGGCGCGGCGGAGGCGTAGGCGCTCGTAAGAGGGGTATGGACGGCGCGAGTGGGGGGGGGGGCGAGAGTCGGGGAGTCGGCCGCCGCGACGCCGGCGCCGGCGCCGGTGGAGTCTTGGGCCGCCTAGAGCTTGACGTTGTCGGCGAAGACGTCGGCGAGCGCGCCGATCTCGAGGCCGCCGACCTCGTGCTGGCCGTAGGGGATCTCCTTGAAGTTCGCCGCGGGGAGCGCCGCGGAGAGGACGGAGTCGACGACGTGCTTGCAGTCCGACGCCGGGAAGGTCGCGTCGGCGGCGCCGCCGAGGCAGTGGACGGGCGTGTCGCGGAGGTGGGGCTTGATCTTGCGGCCGAGGAGCTGGGGCAGCACGGGCGGCCCGCCGACGGCGACGCAGCAGCCCAGCGGCTGGGAGAGCTTCGTGAGCGCCGTGTACATGGCGACGACGCCGCCGTGGGAGAAGCCCGCGATGGCGACCTTGGACGCGTTGCCCGCGAGCGAGATCTCGCGCTCGACGACGGCGCCGAC